AGAAACTGAGGACGGTCCTCATCCGCATGGGGCTAAACCAATATGTTGTCCGGGTTCTCCTGTGGCTCTCAGCCTTTGAGCATAAAACTAATTTATGTAATCTTTGCAGTGTTTTCAGAATGCAAAAGTGTTCAGGCACAGAGAATTTAAGTTCATTGGGGCAGGAGCTCTTGTCTCTTATTTACAGTCAAACAGTTTAACCTGGAAGATAACGATTCACCTCTACATCCTGTTTTCAGTAGTGTTGTATGATGGATGAGCTTACAGTAAAACAGGAATAAGACACATGAGAAATATATTCAAAGTAATACACAGAGGTGGGGAGAGGGTGGGAATTTTCCAGTGATTACACCCTGGCCCATGAGACTTAATTATCCAAAACAGTCTGATAAGTAATGTAATTTGTTTGCATAGCTAACTCCCCTGATTAGTTCTGGGGAGGTACGTGGCTTTCTTTCCACTTTAGGGAGTTTCTCTAATAATTTTCTTCCAAAGGTGAATAACGTCATATTTCCCTCAATGCAGCTGGCTCTGAGAATCAAATTCTGTATTCAAGAAGTGAACTTTCAATCTCAAATGGCTTGATAGGTGCTTCTGCCACAGGAGTTTCTTTCTCCTTTCCAGTGCATGTCTTCTGCGTGTTGCTTAGCTTGCTCTTCAGCTTAGGTCATAGTGTCCTTAAAGTACAGCTTTTTCAAAGTAAACCCATTCAGACGTAACTCATTCCATACTTTATCTGGGTAAATCTCTAGTTTGTAGGAGAGGACAGAAATATCACAACCCTTAATTTAAAGCAAGAAAACTCATTTGAGCATTGTGTCCATTTTGTCTGGAAATTATTTGGATTGCGATTTAATTTTTTCATTGCTCTTTTTTATCGTTCCATCAAATTGTAGTGTTCATGGATAGTGGTGTAGGCTGTCAACTGTTCTGTATACAAGACTTTATCACCAATTGACAACTGCCAAGTGTACATGTTGCTTAATGTGATCTCTCTTTTGTAAGACAATTCTGAGGACTTTTTTGTTTTGTTCTCCCAGACATACGTTTCGAAGATCTTAATGGAAGAATTCTGTTTTTGAAAGTAAATGATTCAGTCTTGAATGACAGGAAACTTGGGTAGGAGGGGAAACTGAGTGATAGCATTTTGTTTTGCCAAAATCAAAGAATGAACATAAGTGGTTCCTCCTTATGTATGTATCACATCTCCTTGCAGAAAGTAACTACTTTGAAATGCTGACTGTTGCAACAACACCCTATTTTAAAGATTTTGAGAGTCTGTGATTTCTAACAAGACAATCCCATTCACTTTTCTTTCAGAAGGAAGAAACTGAGAGACTTTGGTGCATGCTTTTGATGGACCGTCTCCCATATATCTGGTACCAGTACCAGTATTTATGCTTATAATTAATTCCCTGGATTTCTGAGTCATTTAGACTGTCAGTTACTAAAAATCCTGGATGTTAATGATGGAATTCTCCAATGAAAAAGGGAACGTGTGGATAGTAAGCATCTTGCAGTGCATGGAGTGTTGGACTAGAAGCCAAACTGGTCATTCAAGGCAGACTGATGGAAGCCAGTAGAACAGCAATTCTGAAATCTGACCTTTATCTTTGCATTAGAATTCTACTTTAGTCATGACTTGAGGGATAATAAAACTGGAGGATTTTTTTCTTTTTTTGTATTCTTATCTGCGGTGGAGTATTTACCATGCATTTTTATGAAAGGAAGTCTTAAGCCTAGTCTTGCTTAAGAAGTAGAAGATGTAAGTTCACTTCTGTATTCTGCCTTGGATTCACATGTCTATGAAAACAACAACAACAACACACAGGTAACCCAGGGGGTAAAAATCACGTAATTATCTTTACCTATACTTATAGAAGTGAGCCACAGTGGAGCAGGCATTACAACATTCAAAGTCAAATACAGCCCACCAGGAGGTTGGTTGTCCTGCAGGAGTAGTTCTCAAGAGCATGTCTACACTTTATCAATTATTACTTGCCAAAAACAAAGTTCTATTTACTGTTATTGTTAGGTAAACAGTAATCAATATTTCCCATCAACGATGAGAAATCTGACCATACTTTTTAGCTCTTCTGATCTCAGTGAATTTTGCATTTGGACTTTCTGTGTATGTCCAGGAGCAGAAATCAAAGTCATTTTAATGCAAAACCACCACTATACAGGGCACCAAAATATTGAGATAAGATTGTTGAAGATCACTGCTTTGGGCTGGAACCCCTGGAATCCTCTCTGGTTTGCACTTGAGGTATGTCTGAATCTATTTTTGAATCTAATTCATTGTATGTATCCATTTGTTGTTTTTGTTGCTTCATAGGATATCAGTAAACTGTCTGAGACTTGGAGAAAAGAAGGACCAACTGTTTGTTAGTGGAAGTGATATGCCCTGCAAATAAAAAGTAATAGATATCTCTTCCTTTCAGGCATAGTACTTGGTGGGAGAAGGTGAAAGTGCTGCCTTCTGGATGATTAATGCCACTCTATGAAGGCATTCCCTTTTTCAGTGTGGCATTAGATAAATGATACTGTGGCTCTTCTGTCTGTTATCTGTGTGAAGTAGTCGTGGCCAGAGATACGATATGTGCCAGCAAAGGAATTTATCATATGCTGTGTGATGGTTCACAACAGGTGAATCCAAAGGAAGTCTTGAATTGCACAGAGCTGGGCTGAGACAGTAACTGCTTGTATGTGTGAGTTACAAGAGTGTGATTTATTCCCTGGTCACAGTTTTCCATGATTATACCTCAAAGCCACAATACGTGGAAACGTTGTCCTGCTATAGCAACGTGACTCATTTGTTCTTTTAAAGACATCTCAATTACATCAGAGGGATCATTTTTGGAAATCTGATCATTTTCACTGAGTCAGTTAACTGCCTTTTGCACATGTGCCTGATAATTTTCTGAGTAAGCTTAAAGAATGCGAGGCTGATGACTGTTGGTGGGGTCTGCCTGTCAGGAGGTGGAGAATACCCCCAAATGAATACGTGGCCTGTGTGTCATACAGTATTATTCATATGCATGCTATCTGAGCAGGGCTGCAATATGGCATACTAGTAATTAACTTTTTTTTCTCACAGTATAGTAAGTTGAAGAATGTGCTCTAAGGAAAAGATAATTCCGCTTTCTCAGAGTGCTTTCCCAGTTGCTTAGTTTGCAATAACAACCATGGAATCAATACAGATAACTTCATAAAGTCTGAACAATTATCTGGGATATATAGACTGTATGAAAAGCAACCAATTTTTTTTATTACAAACAGTAAATCATAGCCTGTAAGATTTTAGAGGAATTTAAATGTAGAGGTAAAAACCGTCTTTAAAAAAATGACATCATATCATGTTGTCTATTTCAAAAGTATTTTTGTTTAGACTTAAATGGTCCAAGATATTTTCAGTGAATTTCTGAATGCTTAAAGAGAGTGTTTGTTTTTTTTTGTGACCAGAAGAGATCAGGAGCACCTCTTTGTTCTATTTATGTATAATTTTATTGGAAACATTTAAAATAGAAAAATATTTCTGTGTTAGAGAGTGTATTCATGTGTGCTACTGAAGAGAAGACTTGGGATTTCTTCTCTGTGAAATGTTGGGTCTGAGGAGGTCACTTGATACAAACTGGAAGGAAAAAAAAAGCCCTCGGAGTAAGTTGAACAAAGCCCTGCCCACATGCTGTCCTGTGATTTGACTGTCAGTGAATGATATATCCCCTGTCACTTGAAAACATGAAAAACAGGACCAAACAGAAATAGGTTTGCCAAAATTAAAGCTGTTAGTAAAGCATCTGTTCACTGTTTCACAGTGTTTCACAGAATGTTTAAAACATTCCGTTTTACTTTTTATTTATTATATATATATAAAATATATTTTATCTGTTTTGCCAAAAAACAAACAACAAAAAAAGCCCTCCATTTACTTTAGTCACTGTGTGCTTTAGGGGAACTCGTAAGAGTCTCTTGGTGTGTCCAACAGACAGTTCTTGTTCTAGCTGTCTGCTTTTGGTAAATCTCAGACTAAGGAATTGTGAAATGGCTCTTGAAATTGAAGCTAGTGAAAGTTACTGGATGAGAACTAACAGGAGGGATTTCCCAGATTTCTCAGGCTTGGGGCTTTCTGATTTAGAAACACTGAATTATTTCACTTAAGTTGCCAAAAGTATCTCCACTGTTTCTGGAATACCAAGTTACACAATATCAGTGCTGCTATTGCCTGCAGCCTGCTCTGCTGCAGCCTGGCTAACATTCTTGGGGCATGAGTGGATGGCTACCAAGCAGAAGGCATGCTCAGCATCACAGCGGGCAGAGGCAGCTGATTTAACAACATCTCAGTTATTAAATCTACTCTTACAGGGTCACCAAAACCAACCTGTAGGAAATAACAAGTCTCAGCTCGCTACGTGCAAAGGCAGCTCTTGCCTACTGCACCCAACAGGAACATCTGGGGCTTTGGATTAATTATAAAGCACTGTTATTAAACTTCTAATGAAATGATTCAGGAGAGATTGACATAGGAACTGTTGGGTTTTAAAGCTCTTATTCTATTTCAGAACACAGTCAACATCTTTATTAACACAGTCCTGTGTTTGCTCTCAGGCAAAATGAGATGAACTGAGCACCTGTGCAAACCAGAGCAGTGATTGCAACAGCGCGCAGTTATACGATGTGTACCTGGCACTGTACTGCACGGATGTCAGGCTTAAAATACCAACACCAAGGTCCTAATTAAAACGTGCATGTTGTTTGGCAACCAGTAGCTTTCGAAATCAAGGATTCACAGAATCAGGCTTTTTTCTCAGATCTCGTCTCCTCTGCATTCCAAGTGTATGTCCAAGGCATGTGTGCTATTTGATTTCTGAATGTATTCACTTTTTTTAAAGTATGTATTATGCCTAGTATCTCCAGAGGAGTTTATATTCAAATCATGATCAGAAATTCTGTTTTTCTAGGAACTGATTGATTCCTTTTGGATGAGATTTGGACATTGATTGAAAGTGCAGAAGAAAAGTAACATCACCTTGGGTCTACTTCTGAGGAATGCACTAAATAGATACTCCACGCTTTAACCCCAATGACTCCAACCAAAAATTGATGTACAGATTTACGAAGAACTGCCTGGAAAAGAATAGCACAGGGGAACGCAGGTACCAAAACATCTGAGCATGTATCTGTTTGAGGCTGGTTGTGTATTTCCATAAAGCAAAACTTACTTTAAAATATTCTGCAGCAGGAAGAAACCATTGAGGATCTTTATCACTTAAGGACATCATCACTTCTTTTTCCTATATCCTTTCTCTGTTTTTACCCTCAGTATTTGTTTTGCAATCATTTTTTTCTTCTCTTCCTCTTCTCTTGGAAAATTATTACAGAAATAACCAGAAATGAGCAATAATTGTATTAACACATTACAAAATAAGGCACTCTTAAAACCAGAAATACAACAAAGAACCTGTTCATGGCTAATTTCCTGGGTAGAAGAGAGAGCTCAGGGTGTGACTGGAAAGAGAGATTTATGCCATAGAAACATACTCATCCCCACCCACAAATAAGGGTCTGTTACCTAATGAGCAGAGAGGTTCTGCAGGGACCTCATGTCATTCTCTGCACTCGGTTCTTAGAGAATTCGTCTTGGTCTTTTTGGCCCTCCTGGCCAGGCAGCTGGCTTTAGTTAGGATGAAACCAACTGCATGCAGAGAGCTGATGACTACCTTGCTATAACTATGCTTATGAATGTTCCTTTGCATCTAAGAGCATAACCCACAGGTCTGGTCAGATTCCAAGTACCAGCGTTCTTCTAACTTACATTCTCACATGTATTCATCTGGAATAAACAATTGTCGAAACAATATGCTTTCAATTGGTTGCTGTATTGCAGTGACAGACATTAATCCTTAAATGTAGTCTGCACTTAGTCAATTGATGGTGATGGACTGCTAAATAAATAGCAATCTTTGTCGCTTGCAAATAGTTTTTAGATATTGCCATGATGGACAAAAACAAAACAAAACAAAAAAAAACAAAACAAAACCAAAACTGCTGGACAGAGGAATTGGTCTATTTTGCATTTTGCCTGGGAGGTTTAAAGTTGAGATGGGAACTTCACTAGATCTGATATGAAAGCCAAACATCATAAGATAATGTTTCATGCCGGTCAAAAGGAAACAGCAAAATCATGAGAAACATTATCAGATGTTTTATAACAAAATTGAACTTTCTGTTCCTTAAGAAGCAAAATTTACGGTGCTTGGAACACAGTGATCAGAAAAGGAAAAAGAAAATATAGCTGCAGTGGAAACTGAATAGTAACTTATTCAATTGATATTCACTTTTCTATGCTAATTAAGTTTCATGTGAATAATGCTAGATTGGCAGCTTGAAATATGAAGGCCTTTAATTAAGAAAAATAAAATTGCGCTCACTTGGAGAGTATGTTAGAAATGGCATTAAATGAACTTCCTTGGGTTGTTTGAGCAGGATAGATAAATGGTTTGTTTCCTGGTATTTGGGAGACCTTTGATGGCCAGGTTTTCCTTTGTCTCCTATTAGTGTATCACATTTTGCTAACTCAAGATATTGCACAGGATGGTTATCTACTCCACTATTATAGCTCCTTGATTATTTGAAACCTTTATATGCCCTTCATGATTTTACTTGAATGCATGTATACGTCTGAATCATTTCATGTCTGAATTAACTTCATTAGCGTAACTATTTTGTGGGGGTTATTAGCAGCATGTCACGTGACTGCTTTGCCTTCATACATAGCGGCTGTCAGCCAAGGAGCAAAACATGTAAAACACCTACAGAAGCTAAGATTTTCGCATCTCGGTGTAATTTCCCATTCTCAGTTCAAGAGATGCTGGCTGCAATCAAATGTGCATTGCAGTGACTAATGGCTGAATCTGCACTCAGATGCAGTTGTTGTTATCTGCAGAGTCTACAGAGCCTGCCTTAGCTGATCTCTCTCTTTTTCTCTTAGCTCATGTGATCTGCTGTTTCAGTCTCCTTGTCATTCCCTGAGATTAAGCTTCCCATTAATTGTATCAAGGCATTCCCCATTTGAGATGAGAAACTGGAACTGAAAAATGTCCTTAGAGGGGCAGGAGTGGGAATTCTCTGAGTGATTTCCAGGGATTTCAGAAAACCATTTAAAGGATTTCCTGATAAGAATGTCATTGCAGTAATACAGGAGGAATGTTTTTACTGAGTTTACATTTTAAAAAGCCCAGAAATTGTCTAAAGAAAAAAAAAAGTTGTTGCTAAGATATTAAAGTTGCGTTTTCATGTCAATGTTATCTTCTGCTGCATCCAAAAGTAGTGCCCCAGAGTGAACTTAGTCTTTAGAGGAGAAAATCACAGCAGAATTTATTCTGCTTACTTGGAGGCAGCTGGGCACAGGCAGAACTTGTTGGTGTCTACTCTTTGAGAGGAGGCTGCACTGTATGTGAGAGAGGGACAACAAAAGGTTTGTTGCTGATGAAACACTAAAATGCTTCAAAGAATGAAAGTGTCCATTCACTGTGAGGTTAAGCACTGAGGCTGGAAAATGCAGCCAGTATCGCTGCTATAGGTTGTTCTGCTCAAATGTGAACTTAGTAAATAACCAGGAAGGTGTAAGGGAGAATGATTTTTGTTTTCTCACCTTAGGTCGTCTGTGGGTATTCCCAACTCTTAACCCACAGTACTTTCTTCCTCTACCTGTTCCTAATTTGTTGGCTTCCTCCCAAAGCTGTTTTTTTAATGCTTAGCAATAGATATCCTGAACACCTCAGTAAGTATAATAAGGAATAATTAGATCAAGCCATTTAAAATTAATTGGGAAAGGAGATATAATTATATAGGCGTGCAGTTTGATTACAGTGGTCACAGTGCTTTCTTCACACTTTCTTCATGATCACATGCTCCTTCTTTTCTTCATCTTCCCAAAACCCCAGACTCACGCAGTGCTTGACATTGACAGTGCTCATTTAATGAGAGTCTTTTGGTATTTTGTTTATGCCATGTCAGTCTACGTGTGGCACTCAGGGTCTCTCTCTGATGAACAGAAATCCCTCATGCTTCTCTGTGATTTGTGCCAGAATGTTTCAAAAGTGATAATTTGTCTTTACAATGCTCCCCAAGACAAACCACAGTACCTCCAGGAGAGATAGGTAGGGCTTATGAAGAAAAGAAACAACTTTGTGAGCTTGAGACAGTACCGTTCTATTCATTAACATCATGTGCAGTTCTGACGAAAATGGGACATGCAGGAAATCATGTTGTAGAATATGTAGGAGTAAAGAGAACTTCATGCACTCAAAGAGCAGCTCTCTTTCCAGTTGCAGCTGTGAACCAATGAGATTTTTGTAACTGGAGCTGAAGGTTCAGTTTAGAAATCCAGAAACTAACGTACAGCCTTTAATTATTATTATTCTTTTAATTGCTTTAAGTTCTCTAGATCCAGATAGAAAATATGTGGCAGAGACAGGATTTATCTTCACTTTGCCCATGGGTGTCCAACCTTTTGGCTTGCCTGGGCCACACTGAGAGAGGAGAAATAGTTTTGGACTGCATGTATATAGGTCACTCTGAAAATAATGCTTCCTATTTATTTCCATGGAAATTACAGATACAGTAAGCACTGTAACACTGCTTAATAGAGCAAATTCTCAGCTACATAACACTTATTTTTCAACACAGTCACCATTAGATCTGCATTTTTATCAGCGATGCACGAAAGCCTCCATGCCATGCTTGTGACAACCTGCACCAGTGGAGGTGACCCACTGTCACCCACTGCACCATCCACCACCCGCTGTGTCAGTGGGTGCAATTTTTTCTTCATGGAGGAACTCAATAGCACACCTTTGCTTCTTATGCACTTCCATGTCAGATGGCATTCTGTCAGGCTGCCCCACTGCTGCCATTGGTCGTACAGCAACAGAATGACACAGAACATTGGCAGGAAGGTTCAACGTCTACCACCATACCAGCACTATCCACCTCTGGCATTGTGGGCAACATCATAAGATAGGAAATGTTACTTTTGGAGCTGCCCTCATAACATATGTAATATAGTTAATGTATATAAGCAACAAAAAAATAATTTTAAAATATTTTTTTATTAAAACACTGAAAAGGAGAGCAATAAAACTAATGTGATATGTGACCTTGTTTTTGTGAAACTAATTCATCAATCCGTGGTTTGATGCTGAATAATGCATGGTGAAGGAGGAAATTATAAGGCTGTGAAATTGTGAGGGCGGCTCCTTATGCATACAACAGAACAGAGTTATGATTACACATCTGTGCGTCCTGATATTTCCTAATTTTGGAACCTGAAACCTGACAAACAAGAGGTGTTCTATGCAACCCTGCTGGGTTTTCAAAACCAAAATTAAAGCCTCCAAAAATGCTGCCTCTTAGAAAAATATCTTTGTTACTGTCACAGTTTTTGTCTCAGTTAACAGTGAAAGTTATCTGTGGTGCACTGATGCTGATGTCCAGACCATCACTAAGGGAAAAGGGAAAGAAAGACAGATGATTGAGGTTTTAGCACAGTGCAGCCACATTTACAGAATGCATTTACTGTGTGTTCAGTGTGGAAGTCCTCCTGGCAGGAGGAAAAATAACTCTTGAAAAAAGTTGTGTGAGTGTAGACATGGCTGCCGTTTATATTTCTTACAACACAAAGCTGAACCTTTCTATTGCTTCTGTTACACACAGTTTCCCTTTTGCTTTCTGGGCTGTTCCCATACTGAATCAACCTAGGTGGTCTTCTCTTCCAGCCAGGTCTTTTCATAGGATCCTTTTTGCAGTCCACTGATATATGGATCAGTTCTTCTCCTTTCCTCGACTCTGATAGTTTCTTTATTTTTCTGAGTTAGTGTGGCTACATCATATTTGGCAGTTTGAAGGAAAGTTGTGCTTATCTCCATGTTTGGGCATGCCCTGTGGAGGTGGAATATTTGATAATAGCTGCAAAGAGCCACTGGGTGTAGGTGAGACACAGTTATTACCATTACAGTTTTAGGGGTGGAATATGGCATGGTCCTGATGCAGCAACCACTCCCATGTAGAAATGTAAAAACATATGTGGGTGTAAGGAGAGCTGAAAGAAAAGTGTCAGAAATATGGAGTTTTGAGTAAAACAAATCCCATTTTT